TTTAATTAATTTCTAGACACTATATATTTGCAATTTTTGGATGATTTTCAGAATATAAAAATAAATTTGAAAATTAAATGACAAAAAGTCATTTAAAAATAAATGTATTTTTAAATAAGTAAAGCTTCTAAATGTCAGCTGGACAATAAATGTGTTTTTAATTTTGAGAAAATTTTTAAGTAAAAATAAATAAAGGAAAAATAAATAATAAAAACATGCATAAAATGAGCAAAATGAAAAGGAGATTTTCAAGTTTATAGTGTCAAAAAATTTTTTTTGTGAAGAAATAATTGACAGATGGATATATTTCTAAATTATTATAATGACCCCCTTTTTTATTATCAAGAGAAGGAAGAAGAATTTTGGTTTGGAAGTAAGGGATGAGGATGTGTAAAATTTAAAGAATTTACATTAAAGAAATTTATCTAGGAAAAATAAACTTGTAATTAGAAAGGGTCTAAATAATCTGCCATTACAGAATAATTGACAAAGGTTAAACAAAAAAAAGTTAATTTAGAGAATCCTCTAAATCTCAATGTAACTAGGAATTAAGGCAATTTGGTGAACCGTAAAACTAGTTCGCGGCAAAATATTGCTTTGGATTCGAACCGGGATTTTAAATTTTATTTACTTCTATTTAATTTCTTTTCAAATTTCATCATCATTACTGCCAATTTTGTCCTTTTTGGTATAATAAAATAAAAATATCTTAAAAATACTTATATTTATCGAAATTGCACTTATAATTCAACGATATCTGTTATTTCCCATATTTTTAAATATTTAAAAAGCCATGTTTAAAAATTGCCCTTTATGATGTTGAAAGATATTAAGTAATATTTAGATATATGTCTGAATGAAATTTATATAAATAAAATATAATTAAGCTTAAAATAAAGAAGAATAACTTTACTTGTTCTTAAATAAATTTTTAAAATTTATCTCGAATGAAGCTTTTTTGCGTTTTAATCTTTTTAATTTTTAATTTGATATTATGGAGTTCAATTAATTCTGTTAAAGATATTAAAAATCAAAACGAGTTGATTAGAGTTGAGGAAACCTCAAAGGATTTAAATAAAATATTAAATGATGGGGCTGAATCATCGGTTGCTCCTCAAAATCAAAATTATAAAGAAGTATTAAAACCAAAAATTACTAAAATGTACAAGAATGACAATAAGTTGGCAGAAAAAAAGATGAATAAAAAAGAATATCTTCGAAATTATCGACAAAAGAATAAAGAAAAACTGAAAGAAAAGAGAAGTTCTACAAATTTTAAAAAATTAGAAAAGAACATGATCGAAACTACTACTATAAGAATATAGAAAAGAGGAGAGAAACTGCTCGAAAGTACCGAGAAAAAAAGAAAAATGAAATGGAAAATTTAATAAATGAAATTTCAAAATTAAGAAATATTCAATCGGAAATTAATAAAGGAACTTCTTTTGTTAATCCTGAGAATAATGATTTTATCAGTAAAGCTAAATCGACAAAATCCTCAGATAACTTACCTAAAATATTAAATGATGGAGCTGAATCATCTGTTAATCCTCAAAGTAAAAAATCTAAAGAAAAGGTAAAGACAAATAATAATTCTGAAACTAAAAATGATCAACCAGAAAAAAAGTTGAAGAGAAAAGGATATAATGAAAATTATTATCAAAAAAATAAGGAAAAGATATGTGAATATAAACGAAATTACGTCCGACGTATGAAAGAAAATTTAGAAAATTTACGAAAAAATAAAATGGAAATCATGCGAGATATTAATTCAAAATTAATAAATGTTCAGTCTAATGAAGGAAATTTATTACCTAATACTTGTGAAAGTAAGGAAAAGGAACCGATTGTTTCCAAAGAGAATATACAGTTAGAAAAAGGTGAAGATGTGGATGTGAATGATAATGCTGAAGGAGAAGATAATCCTATTCAATCTTCTCATAATGTAGAAGGAAATGATAATGCTGAAGGAACTTCATTAGGCAATCCACAGACGGATGATTGTGAAAATAATTTAACCTCCGATTCAATTGCTGGCCATAATGGACAACCAAATAGTCAATCGGCTGATGGCCTTCATACTCATCAAATGGAAGATCATGATGATTTGATCGGTCAGAGTTTATTGGATGATGTGAATTTTTTGGATTATCTAAGTTCTATTCTTAATTCCTGAACACATTTCAGCTAAACAAGTGGATGAATTTTAAATATGTAAACCAAAAAATAAATCTTTCCTTTCTTTATATTTTCTGGGCTACAAAATGATGTCCAAATATTTTTTCATATTTATTTTTCTTAATTTAATTTTCTTTAATTTTCTAATTGAAATTGTTTCGTTCGATAAGACAAAGAATTTTAATAAAATAAATTGCAATTTCCGGATAATAAATCATGTGTTTCCTGAAGACATTTTGATAAACAAGTTGATGAATTTTAGATATGAAATCACAAAAAATATATCTTTCCGTTCTCTGGATTTGATATTTTCTTTACATAAATACATATTGCTGTATGGAACTAATCTACAAACAAAATTATGTCCAAATATTTTTTCATATTTATTTTTCTTTATTTAATTTTCCTTGATTTTTGAATAAAAAGTTTTCAAATAAATATCTAAATAAATGTTTGAAATTTCCGGATAATAAATTTAGTGTTTTTTTAAAAGCTAATCTATCTGGTTTTCTGAAAAATGCGGAAATCTATAGAGTAAAAAATAAATAAGAATAATAATGAATATATAATTTTATTTTATTAAAAACCGTTATTTTTTAATAATAGTGTGAGGGAGTTGACGGAAATAAATATCAGTTGAGTAAAAGATTTATTAAATGAGTAGAGTTATTAAATTTTTTAAATGGAGAAAGAAGATCATTAAAGTTTTTAGTTAACAATAGAAAACTAGTGTCCATAAGATTAATAAATTTTAACAATATTGGTTTTTTTTGTTTTTGACAAGAAATTTTCTAAATCTAAATAAAATCGAATTTCCATTTAAAATTTTTAGAATGATAGTATGAATAATTATAGTATGATATGTAGTATATGATAGTATAAGACCGTCTAATTGAAAATAAGAATATTTTTAGTTAGGTTGATCTGACAATATAAATATATAAATTTAGCTTAAACCATATACTAAATGACGTATTATTTAAGGGAGTTAAAACCCCCTATGAGCAAATATTCAAACAAACTTTTTTTAGAAATAGAATTAACAAGTTGTGAAAATAAAGCTCTAATAAAAGAATAATTGAATTTTTACATATTAAGTAAATTTTAAGGCTATCTAGGAATACTTGAGAAAGAAAAATAAAAAATTTTTTAGTCATGGAATTTTTGGACAGCGAATATAATGCTAAGGCTTCTTTATCAATTTGTCTATAATTTTTCTCCGAATTACTCTATGATTTACTGGCATATTCGATTGCCTTTTCACTTTCGTCCGAATATTTGTGGGAGACAAATTTTGTATAAAAAATGGTAGAAAATTGTCAGAAAACTAAATGAAAAAGTGAAAAAATTGAATGGCAAAAAGTCATTCAAAAATAAATGAATTTTTAAATAAGTAAAGCTTCTAAATGACAGCTGGACAATAAATGTGTTTTTAATTTTAAAAAAAAATTTAAAGTAAAAATAAATAAAAAGGAAAAAGTAAATAATAAAAACATGCATAAAATGAGCAAAATAAAAGGGAGATTTTCAAGTTATAGTGTCAAAAAACTTTTTTGTGAAGAAATAATTGACAGATGGATATATTTTTATGTTAACAGTGAAATATATAGCCAACTTTTATAAGACAAAAAATAATCTCAATGACAGCTGGACAATAAATGTGTTTTTAATTTTAAGAAAAATTTTAAGTAAAATAAAGGAAAAATAAATAGTAAAAACATGCATAAAATAAGCAAAATGAAAAGGAGATTTTCAGGTTTATAGTGTCAAAAAATTTTTTTGTTAAGAAATAATTGAAGATGGATATATTTTTATTTTAACAGTTAAATAGATAGCCAACTTTTATATAGTCTAAAAATTATTTCTGATGGTTAAGTATTAAATCGGGTAGTGAGTTTAGATTGAAGACAATTTGGAAGCTCTTAACTTTCAGCAAGTATATTATATAAAAGTTTTTTCGACTGCGAACGGTCTGAGCAAGGAGAGGCCAATGAAAATGGAAGGTAATTCTGTTGGATTTGCCTGTTATCTTTAAGGCACAGTTCGGTACTACCGCGGTACTATCATAGAACCGACTCGGTACTTTTCGGTACTGGTATTGGTACGGTACTGATGAGATTTTGGAATTTTCGGTACTAAAGCAATACCAGTACATTTCGGTAGTACTGGTATTCGTATTGAAAAAATCCATTTGCCGAACACTAGCTGAAACATTAAAAATAAAATTTAACATTTAATTATGTAGCACGTGAATGAGATTTGTAAAAATGGACATTTCATCCCAAAATTAAAATTATTTGCTAAAATTTTTTAAATATTTATAGTTCCTCTCAATTTTATGTAAAAATTTTTAAGAAAAAATAATAATAATAAATATATTTAAATTAAATATGTATGTAGCCAAGTACAGAAATGTCCCCCAAATTGGGCCTTAGGGAAATTTGATATTTCTGAGTAAAAAAAGGAAAATTAAAGAAAAATGAAAAGAAAACATGCAAAGGGCCTCAACGTGGGAAACTAACTAAAAAAATTTCCAAAAAATTAATTTATGGACAATTTATAAGAATGGACATTTTGTCCCAAAATAATTTTTTTAGTTATTTTACTCACAAAAATTTTTTGTTCCTTTATTTTTATGCATTTCAAAGCATTTTAAAGAAAAGTAAAAACAAGTGGCTCTCTGACCCTTTTTCCCTTTTTTGGCTTGCAACGCCTTTCCCGCGGGAAAACCAATTAAGGAGCGTCTTTGGATAACAGACCCCAAAAATTTTTTTCCTTTTTGCAAAAAGTGAAGTTTTGCATTGATCCAAAATTTTTGGCAAAATCGAAGAAAAAAAGGGGCATTTTTGGGGTATGAATGGAAAAAAGTGGCAATTAGCTGGAAAAAATGACAAAAGATCCTTTAAAGCAAAGGAAGTACAAAAAAGAAGGGAGGAGGATGGATAGCTTGCAATGTGAGGGAGTTGACGGAAATAAATATCTGTTGAGTTGGGAAAAGTAAAAAGAATAGAAATTAATAAAAACAAGGAAAATAAAAATGAAAAAAAGACAAAAAATAAAATAAAGGCAACATTGAGCGAGTAGAGTCATTAAATTTTTAACTGATGAAAGAAGTAAGATTATTAAAGTTTTAGGTATCATTAGAAACTAATGTTTATATAAGATGATAAATTTTAATAATATTGGATTTTTATTTTTGACACAAACTTTTCTAAATCTAAATTAAATTGAATTTCCGTTTAAAATTTTTGGAATTTCTTAAAATCTTGATAATATTTGTATTATATTCAGTTAAATAATGATAGTAAAATCATCTAATTTAACATAAGAATATTTTCAGTTAGGCTGATCTGAAAACATAAATATATAAATTTAGATTAAACCATATCCTAATTGACTTATTATTTAAGGGAGTTAATACCCCCTATGAGCAAATATTCAAACAAACTTTTTGTAGGAATGGAATTAACAAGTTATGAGAATAAAGCTCAAATAAAAGAATAATTGAATCTTTGCATATTAAGTAAATTTTATTAGCTTTAAATTTTGTCTATCTAGGAATTCTTGAGAAAGTAAAATAAAAAAATTTTTAGTCTTGCATTATTTAGGGAGATACATTCCCTATCCAAAAATAATACATTGCTCGGCGCGAGATGATATTAACGTATTATAAATATAATATTTAAGTAAAAGTTTTAATATAGTTTTGCATATTAAGTACTACTGCAATTAGCTAAAAATTTGCTTTAAAAATTTAAATGGGTCTTTAAACAAGAGCTATCGAAATTTGCAGCGCGTTTGAGGGAAGGAAAATGTGGAAAAAACATTGAGGGAACGCCGCATAAGTAACAAAATAAGGTAGGGGAAAGAAGGCTAAAATAGAAAATTATGGAGGGATATGATGTGATGTTAAAAAGGGAGAATGTGGAAATGCTCGCTTAAATTAAATTTTCTTACTTAGTCCCGAACATACATAAGGCTAATTCCTAAATATCAACAGAGGTATGGAAGGGAAAAGTTGAAAGGTAAGGAAACGAAAGCTAAGGAAAAAAGCGAAGTAAAACAAAGCGAAAGCGAATGAATAATCCTCCTGTCTGGAACCTATTTCCCGCACCCTGTATTATTAATAGCATTTATACGAATCTTTAATTTCTGAAATATTCTTTATTTCAAAAACATGGTTCTTTTTTCTATTAAGGGCTGAATTGATTGTTTTACAAATAAAGGTTTTTAAGGGATTTTAAAGACAAACCAAAAAAGGCTGAAAGAAAGGCTTAATTCCCCGAGGAGATAAAGAGAGGGAAGAAAGAAGGTGGAGAGGTTGTTTTGTTAAAGATTGATCGTAAAAATCCAAAGGTATTTTTTGAAGGACTAAAGCGAAAAAATTTATTCAACAAAAATTTTGGTTGTGTAGTAAAATCACAATATTTTCATTTTTTCTTCAAATTTTCCAGTACCGAAAATCGGTATTACCGCGGTACTGGAAAACTTTCGTTAGTACCGCGGTAGTAACGAGAAGTGTTTGTAAAAATTATTACGGAAAGCCTTAGACTTTGTAGTTAATATATTTCATTTAATTCAAATTAAATGACAGATTAAGAAAAGGAAAAAAATATTTTAAAAATTAACAGAGAATAGAAAGATGTTTAGTTTTGTTTTAAAAGTTTGAAAAAATTCATTTTATTATAGGAAATTCTGATTGTCCAAAAAATTTAGATTATACAATAAATTGAGATAATCCACATCATTCATGTAATTCTCTTGGTTAAGATGCTCAGTATGAACATTTTCTTGTTCATATGCACAAGTCATTGAATTATCTTTAAATTCAACATTCTGCGGATTAACTGGATGTGCAGGATTTCCTTCATCCTTATGAGATGATTGAATTGAATTATCATTTTGTAAATGAATATTTCCTTGATCTAACTGAACGTTATCTTTTGTAGGTTCTTTTCCTTTACATTCACAATCATTCGTCTGTAGATTAACAAACGAAGTTGCTTCAGCATTTTCAATTCCTTCTAAATTATGAGAAGATTGAATAGGAGTATCTTCTCCTTCTTCAGCATTATTATTCACAGCCACATCTTCTCCTTTTTCTAACTGGATATTCTCTTTGGAGACAATTGGTTCCTTTTCTTTACTTTCACATTCATTATTTTGTGTATTAGGTAATAAATTTCCTTCATTAGATTGTATATTTATTAATTCTGAATTAATATTTTGCTCAATTTCAAATTTATTTTTTCGTAAATTTTCTAAATTTTCTTTCATACGTCGGTTGTAATTTCGTTTATCTGCACATATCTTTTCCTTATTCTTCTGATATCTCTCCTTATCATACTCTTTTTTCCTTAACTTTTTCTCAACTTCATCAACTTTAGGTTCATTTTTGGAAGTTGTCTTTAACTTTTCTTTATATTTTTGACTTTGCGGAGCAACAGATGATTCAGCCCCATCATTTAATATTTTAGTTAAATTATCTGAGGCTTTTGACGAATCATTATTTTCAGGATTAACAAAAGAAGTCCCTTCATTAATTTCCGATTGAATGTTTCTTAATTTTGAAATTTCATTTTTTAAATTTTCCTTCTCATTTTTCTTTTTTTCTTGGTACTTTCGAACAGATTCTCTACTCTTTTCTTTATTATTTTGGTTGTATTCTAGTTTCTTTTCTTTATTCTTATAGTAGTAGTTGCGATCATATTCTTTTCTAATTTGTTTAGATTTTTCAGAATCTTTCCTTTCTTTTAGTTTTTCTTTATTATTTTCTCGATAATTTCGATCATATTCTTTCTTCTTTATAATTTTTTCTGCCAAACTATTATCTTTCTTGTACATTTTAGTAATTTTTGGTTTTAATATTTTTTTATATTTTTGATTTTGAGGAGCAACAGACGATTCAGCGCCATCATTAAATATTTTATTTAAATCCTTTGAGGTTTCCTCAACTCTATTCAATTCGTTTTGATTTTTATTGTTTTTAACAGAATTAATTAAACTCCATAATATTGAATTGAAGATTAAAAATATTAAAATATTAATTAATTTCATTCTTAATTAATATAAAAAAATTTAAAATTAATTTTTATTAATTGACGTTAACTAATATAGTTAAAATAAAATGAGATAATAATGTTAATATAAATAAATATAATTAGAGCTAGGATTTTTAGGCACGATAGGTATTTTGGTGGAGAAAGTTAAAATAGGCAATTTTAGGCAACGATAAAAATAGTTTGAAAGCAGGAATGTTGTGACTTATAGGGGGTTTTTTTTGGCTGGACCGATTTGGACAAATGAGGTGTCATTCGAAAGAGCTCGCCGAGCTGAGTCGATTGAGGGGCGAGTGGAGTCGATCCGACAACCAGGGACCGAGATACAGACCCCTGAAGTTTGAAAAAGAGAAGGGGGGAGTAAGCTCATTTTTGGGTGAAAAATTCGAAAATGCAAATAATAGCTCATTCGACTCAGCTCGTCGAGCTGAGTCGAATGACACCAAAATCAGCTCGATATCTTGATTCTGAGCCAAGATAAACATGTTCAAAATGGTCAACATAAACCTATGGAGCGTCGGCGAGGCGCTTGTGCGAAACCCCGCGCTTCGCGCGGGGTTTCGCGGCACGCGCCTCGCGGGGAGTCAACGGTCGCTGGGTCTGGGTCAGTAACATGACCCTGTTCCTATCTCACTTACTCTGGACGTACTTGGGGGCCTCTGTAGCAGCAAAAACCTCAACAATGACCATAGGTAAGGAGCGAAAACAAACGATCATAACTTTGTCAAATCACGTCGGATCTCGGTGATTTTGGTGTCATTCGACTCAGCTCGACGAGCTGAGTCGAATGAGCTATTATTTGCATTTTCGAATTTTTCACCCCAAAATGAGCTTACTCCCCCCTTCTCTTTTTCAAACTTCAGGGGTCTGTATCTCGGTCCCTGATTGTCGGATCGACTCCACTCGCCCCTCAATCGACTCAGCTCGGCGAGCTCTTTCGAATGACACCTCATTTGTCCAAATCGGTCTAGCCAAAAAAAACCCCCTATAAGTCACAATACCCGAAAGCAGATATAATAGAAATAACGCCTGCTTTAGACGTTTCAGCATCAGGCCTATTTAGGAAAAAACAGGTATTTTGCCTAAAATCCTATATAGCTCCTATAATATTAATAAAAAATAAATAATAAATAAAAATAATAAAATATAAATTCACTCATATAAATAAAATGAATATAGATAAAAACATCCGGTGTATTTTGACATATATTTTTAATAATTGCACTTTTCATGATTATATATGTAAAAGGTCAATATTGCTAAATATCGTGTAAACAACTTTATTAAAGCCGACAGATTATGAAATCTCAAAGGGCATTTTCACAAACATTAAAGAAAATCTTTAAAATTAAAAAAATTTAAACTTATAATTGTCAAAAGAAACTGAAGTAAAACTTGGAATTCAAGGTATATTATCGAATTAGAGCTGCTATATGTATTGTTAACTTAAGGATTCATGAGATTTAGGTGATTTTGAGGGATATCAAGGTTTTTTGGGGACTAGGATGACATCAAGCGATATCCCTCTTAATCTCTAGGTTTCAACTTCCGTTTTGGTCTCGGTCTCGGGGTTGATTCTCGGTCTCGACTCTCGGCGTTTTTTGACTCTCGAACATCACTAATATTTGTTCTTTAGAGTAATTGGCGGATCCGGAAAAAGACCGGTTATCCGGAAATCTATGGTTCGGATACCGGATACGGATATCCATAAATTTCGGATCCGAAAATTGTCAGGATCAAACAAACCTACTTCAGTGCTATAAATTTTAATTTTTAATATTTTCTATAATGTTTGTAAAAACATCCTTTGAGATTTCATAATTTGTCGGCTTTAATAAATATGTTTACACGATATTTAGCAATATTGCCCTTTTACATATAATCATGAAAAAGTGCAATTATTACAAAATATATGTCAAAATACACCGGGTGCTTTTAACTATATTCATTTTATTTATATCTCCTTAGAGTGCCGAAACATGTTTAAAATATAATGAAAAGCAAAATTAATTTAAAAAAACGAAACGCTAAAAGCAAAGCTGGCATAACTCTGATTCAGAAATCGCATACCGTATATCCTTT